GACAAGTCTCAGAATCATAATATGTCAAGTCGCAAATAATCAATCTGTGACTGATTTAATAAATTCGGAAATACTGAAATGTTGGACATTATCATCGAAGATGTAGATCCACTATTTACCTGTAGATACCTTTACTGAAAGACTGATTAATGAATACCAGTCCTTTATCAGGAGGATGTTTATCGGGCATTCCGTTATGTCTTTAAAGACTGCAGATGTATTTAGTCATAATCAATAAAGATGTCTTTGTTATGTGTTATTTAGGTAACGAGGATATGGGTCCACTTGCACAGAACAATCTTAGTTACAATCGATCTTAGACCCCTACAATCAACTTTACAATCACCATACAATTACGCTAATCCATTTGCACAAAGACAATCTTAGAGCGATTGTAGGACGGCTTGTATTTAAGATCGTGATCTTAGCTAAGATCGAACTCTTCAACGGCACGAATTTCTTTAACTCGTCACCTGTCTACAGTTGTCTGCAATTGGTCATAGCATGCTGCGCAAATAAAAAGTGATACTGGTCCCTGCACACATATACATCTCTCAATCGCACCTTGCAGAATTTCCAGAAATCTTGGAAGGAAACGATTACGTGGACGATAGCGTATATTTTTCTACATTCTAAGTGTCTTGATTTATGAACTGAGAATGTGATATTGCAACCATGCAACAATGTTTTATGAAAATATTGAACTTCGAAAAAAATACATTCATAAATTTGGGTCTAGATTTAGTGACTTAATTATTATGAAGATTCAAATATCAAATATAGTCAATATTTCCTTATGACATAACACCTAAATGCATGATTTGCAAATGGTTGTCAATGAGACATTGTTTAATGCACTGCTGTTTGTTTGTTGTTTTTATATTCTTTTTTTTGGTGTGTAAAATGCTAAATATATCCTAGAAGTATTGGTTTTCTCAAATTGTAATAAGAAAATATGATATGGCTACAGAAGTGTTGTAAAGAATGCATGACAGGGAAATACGAACATCAAATAAGATTTCAAATGAGCAGTTGTTAAATACTTATTCACAGTATATTAATGATATAACTCTATTGCGTTGATAAATATTTTTCTAAAAGTGAAATTAAAATTTAAACTTGATTTTGTATGTTAACTTGTATCTAATTTTTGTTTACTTTAATGATTAACTAAGACAAAATGACCGAAAATGACTCTATGACCGAAAACAAAATATGTTGGGCTCTGCGATTGGGCATGACAGACTCTAAGGCAACGGCCTGTGCCAGGGGAAACCACTCCCATCTTGCGCATAAACTAAAATTACATGCTCTTGAGTTATTGAAAACGTCACGGCCATTCGCTATTATCCTTTCTTTGATTATCAAAAAGGTATGTTGTTTCACACTTATTCCAACATACTATTCGGGTGGGAATAGTACTTCGTGATATCGACTGGATAGTTCTGTGGTTCACTACAGCAAATAACGATGTTTCTGACGTTAAATCGGCAGTGCATTTTCCATGTTGTTGAAGTGTCGAGGCGAACCACACAGTTTGGGTCCGGAGCAATTGTAAGTTTCTGTTGTAACTTACAATTATCTCAGTCTATAACTGCTTTTTGCAACTGGATTACGATTGAAGCCGAAGCCTAAGATCGCAATCTTAAGGATTTACAATAATTGTAGCGCTAAGATCGTTCTGTGCAAGTGGGCCCAACAAACCACGAGACTGCGAACCATATATGTCAAAGGTGCATATAATCAGCCTGCGAATGAATAAATACTTCTGAAACACTTACATGTTCAACGTTATGTGCAAACATGAAGGATACGGTATCAACCTATAGATACCATTAGTGAAAGATGTTTTCATTACTATAAGTATCTCAGCTTATATCTTGTTACGAGTGAATATTGGTTTTCTTACAAGACTATATATGTTTCCAATAATAATCGATCTTAGACCCCTACAATCAACTTTACAATCACCATACAATTACGCTTATCCATTTGCACAAGACAATCTTAGTGCGATTGTAAGACGGCTTGTATTTAAGATCGTGATCTTAGCTAAGATCGAACTCTTCAACGGCACGAATTTCTTTAACTCGTCACCTGTCTACAGTTGTCTGCAATTGGTCATAGCATGCTGCGCAAATAAAAAGTGATACTGGTCCCTGCACACATATACATCTCTCAATCGCACCTTGCAGAATTTCCAGAAATCTTGGAAGGAAACGATTACGTGGACGATAGCGTATATTTTTCTACATTCTAAGTGTCTTGATTTATGAACTGAGAATGTGATATTGCAACCATGCAACAATGTTTTATGAAAATATTAAACTTCGAAAAAAATACATTCATAAATTTGGGTCTAGATTTAGTGACTTAATTATTATGAAGATTCAAATATCAAACATAGTCAATATTTCCTTATGACATAACACCTAAATGCATGATTTGCCAATGGTTGTCAATGAGACATTGTTTAATGCACTGCTGTTTGTTTGTTGTTTTTATAAAAAAAATTGTGTGTGTAAAATGCTAAATATATCCTAGAAGTATTGGTTTTCTCACATTGTAATAAGAAAATATGATATGGCTACAGAAGTGTTGTGAAGAATGCATGACAGGGAAATACGAACATCAAATAAAATTTCAAATGAGCAGTTGTCAAATACTTATTCACAGTATATTAATGATATAACTCTATTGCGTTGATAAATATTTTTCTAAAAGTGAAATTAAAATTTAAACTTGATTTTGTATGTTAACTTGTATCTAATTTTTGTTTACTTTAATGATTAACTAAGACAAAATGACCGAAAATGACTCTATGACCGAAAAGAAAATATGTTGGGCTCTGCGATTGGGCATGACAGACTCTAAGGCAACGGCCTGTGCAAGGGGAAACCACTCCCATCTTGCGCATAAACTAAAATTATATGCTCTTGAGTTATTGAAAACGTCACGGCCATTCGCTATTATCCTTTCTTTGATTATCAAAAAGGTATGTTGTTTCACACTTATTCCAACATACTATTCGGGTGGGAATAGTACTTCGTGATATCGACTGGATAGTTCTGTGGTTCACTACAGCAAATAACGATGTTTCTGACGTTAAATCGGCAGTGCATTTTCCATGTTGTTGAAGTGTCGAGGCGAACCACACAGTTTGGGTCCGGAGCAATTGTAAGTTTCTGTTGTAACTTACAATTATCTCAGTCTATAACTGCTTTTGCAACTGGATTACGATTGAAACCGAAGCCTAAGATCGCAAACAAGATTTTACAATAATTGTAGCGCTAAGATCGTTCTGTGCAAGTGGGTCTAACAAACCACGAGGACTGCGAACCATATATGTCAAGGGTGCATATAATCAGCCTGCGAATGAATAAATACTTCTGAAACACTTAAATGTTCAACGTTATGTGCAAACATGAAGGATACGGTATCAACCTATAGATACCATTAGTGAAAGATGTCTTCATTACTATAAGTATCTCAGCTTATATCTTGTTACGAGTGAATATTGGTTTTCTTACAAGACTATATATGTTTCCAATAATAATACTAGTTATGCATTATTTAGATTACAATAACTTGTCTGCGGTCCATCTTGGAAGTGACATGAACCTCTCAAGCAGTATGTTCGCCTCTGAATACTGGCACAACAGCATCACCACACGTGATATAGTGGAACCAGGCCACACGTTGTCGTTCCATGGAAGAGGGAATGATCCCTTGCCTCAATGCAATGGTAAGTGTAGTGTAACAAAATTGCAAAACAAAATTTTGTTCTTGCTTACTTGTTTGTTGTTTAGTCACCAGTATTCGAGGTACATGACCTCCGTTTGTAGATAATCACGACTGACCGAGACAATCCAGAGATGGAATTATGAGCATCGACTCATATACTTGTTGGTAAAAGGTCCACAGTACCTAATGCTTGACGTTATGTTCTCCATGAATGTAGTGTTCCCTTATTGAAGTGATTGCTATGTATGTCCTACCACCGAAGATACGGCATAGACTTTTAGCAACCCATATTCTCGAAAGATGTGACAAACGAGACTGGGTAGTCAGGCATGCTGGCCGTGTTGGTGTATTTTTATTACATCCGAATTATGTCGATGGATCATCATGAATGAGGCGTTAATCTTCAAAGAAAAAGACAATCAAAAGTCTCAGAATCATAATATGTCAAGTCGCAAATAATCAATCTGTGACTGATTTAATAAATTCGGAAATACTGAAATGTTGGACATTATCATCGAAGATGTAGATCCACTATTTACCTGTAGATACCTTTACTGAAAGACTGATTAATGAATACCAGTCCTTTATCAGGAGGATGTATATCGGACATTCCGTTATGTCTTTAAAGACTGCAGATGTATTTAGTCATAATCAATAAAGATGTCTTTGTTATGTGTTATTTAGGTAACGAGGATATGGGTCCACTTGCACAGAACAATCTTAGTTACAATCGATCTTAGACCCCTACAATCAACTTTACAATCACCATACAATAACACTAATCCATTTGCACAAAGACAATCTTAGCGCGATTGTAAGACGGCTTGTATTTAAGAGGAAGTCGATGGTCAAATGGAAAGTGACCAGAATCACTCAATCTCTACTGTGTCCTTTACAAATTGGCACCTAAACAAGACGTTATACGACTTTCTGTTACATGGCGATGTGTTGGGTATTCAAGGTAAATATTACGATCCACGGTAACTCATGCCTGACGTCATATATGACTACGAGTCATAAACTATCAATGTCTCAACGTATTCTGGAACACTTGTACGTTGAACGTTATCGTCAAGCATGTACATCCTACACTTACGCGAAGATACAAGTACTGAAAGATACAGTAATAATTTCCATTACCTCAGTTTTATATCATATCACGGTTGATAATGAGGTAGAATATTTGACATTCCATTGTTTTAAAGAAAATGTGTATGTTTCTTATGATTATAATTGTCAAGCATCTTTAAGAGAATAGTGAAGTCGGGCAGTTGCCTGGAGACGATGCAGCAATGGGAAGGGACCCGAATCACTCATCCACAGCATCGTCCAGTGAACACAAGCACCACAAAAATGTCTTCCTTAAAAGTCTAAAACCAGGCGACATGTTGCATATTGATCGAGGATGGTACTATCACTGTGGCATATATGTTGGTAAGTGTAGAGTAACAAATTATTAGAGGAAAGTCTCACGGATGTATGCTTGCTTTTGTTTACGAGGGATACGTATACGAGGGATATTAGCGATCTATATTAATCACGTATCACTTAGGGAAGACAGGGAGTAGATATTCAAAGGGAAAGTGCATATGAGTAGCGTTATGTGACCAAGGAATTGCTTGTCATGGTAGTTCAGATCAAGAATAAAGTTATAAATGTAGTATTCTATTATTTAAATAGTTTGTGTGTATGTATATATATATGTGTGTGTGTTTGTGTGTGTTTGTGTGTGTGTATGTATGTGTGTGTGTATGTATGTATGTATGTATGTATGTGTGTATGTGTGTGTGTATGTATGTATGTATGTATGTATGTATGTATGTGTATGTGTGTATGTGTGTATGTATGTATGTATGTATGTATGTATGTATGTATGTATGTATGTATGTATGTATGTATGTATGTATGTATGTATGTATGTATGTATGTATGTATGTAATCCCCAAAGCCCTACATGTGAAGATCCGGGATAGAATTTGTATTCCTCATGCCTTTGATAGTCCAAAGATGCGTTTAAAGGGGATCATGTGGTCAAAAATACTTAAATATGTAACGCTTTCTTCAAATGTGTAGATTAAGTCTTTACTCGTAGTTACCAGTTGATATGATCCGGGTTGATAAGGACATTGTAACATGGACACAGAAGACTTCTATTAACTTATGGTAAACATTTTCAATATATTATATAGGTGCAGATAACATCGTGCACTTGTCTGGAGTCAATGGTTCAATGGAAAGTGGCCTGTATCACTTACCCACATTGAGTGGAGCAGTGTTCAATAAAGGAATCGTTCGCCTAGATAATGTTTGGGACGTTGCTGGAGTCATGGACGTGGTCAAGATAAATGTAAAAGACGGACAATTACTGTAGGTTTTGTTGTAGATAAAAAGTAGCATTCATTTCTAGACAATCCGTAAGATTATGTGAGGTGTATTGACTGTAGTCTGTTTGGGTCATACCGATTAATCACAATCTAACTCCAAATCGATTCATGATCAAACATTCATTTTAACGCAGAATGTAATGGAAACATCAGACCAACTCTGGACACAAGTTTCGTCGTGTTTGTCTCCAAAATAAAAAACAACAACATCATTTTGTTTTGGCGTTCCGTGTGAAGTTTTACAAGGGTAAGGTAAACGTAAACTTGTTATCTTTTTCATCTTCTCAATTGTTGCCAAGAAATTACATTCCAGGTGGTCTTGATGTTGTTCTGTTGTTTACAGCCCACTGGAACCATCTGAGATAGTAAACAGATCATTATCCAAAGTTGGAGAGGGTGGATATAACTTACTCTATAAGAACTGTGAACACTTCGCTTCATGGTGCCGGTATGACACAGAAGAAAGTGATCAGGTTTGTATTTGTCCAACAGTTCCTTTGCCGAAGTCATTTGCCTTCCACTAAAAAGATTAAATTACGTTTAGATTACATCAGACTATTATTACTATACTATCACACAGGCCAGTCTTTTATGCTGGTAGCCAATTCAGGACATATCTTGTTGCAGACATACGAGTTCGTCATTAAAGGTAGGAGCTTAACATCATGCTTGGCCTAGTATCATATTAATTTTGCAGAACAGCTAGCATGTTCAATAATATGCGTGTTTCATTTTGCAAAACCCATGATTAAACAAGTTTTATTGTTTCCAAGATTCTTTGAAATGGAATTATTGTAGAAAGCAATCCAAAAATTTCATTTCCTTTCAGGTTGATCGGTTATTTAACCTTTTGAAAGTCATTCTCTCTGCAATATTGGTATTTTGGCGTATAATTGGAAGATGGTTGCGCCATAATTGCAGATTCTACCATGAATGAAGAAAATACTAGATTCTGATTGGTTGTTCAGAAAAATCAGACGGCATCAATTGTGGATTGACGCTCACCTGATGGTAAGGCCGCTTCACCGCGCATTAACAAATCTTATTGTGAGAACTACTTCCGTTTGACCACAATGATGGCGGATCATAACAACAACTCCATGAATTTTGACGCTGACTTTCGAATTTTCTACATAGGCAATTGGAATTTTTTGGATTAAAAATGCGTTTGATTTCATTGCGCTTCACTGCGCACGTAAAGAACACTGCCGCACTACTTCAGCTTGGCCACCAACATGACTAATATCAACACAACAGACGTGATGGAAATGCTGATGAAACATTTATTTAAACTCGAAAAATACAAATATACGATTTCTCCTCCACAATTATTAGGGAACCTCACTAGCATATTACCTTCTATTATATAAATATTCAAACTCAATTACAATACACAGCCCCGAACATAAACAAAACAATATGTAATCAGAAAGCCTTGTAAAAATACATCCCTATCTATATACAAAATATGCAGCAAAACATTAGTAAACATTTACCTACCTGGTAAATGGTATATTTATTTCCGTTTAGAATGGGAAATTTGCAAAATAGATCTAACGGTCTGGCGAAAAACACCACAGTTATGCCACTCATAGTCATACTCCATCATATCCCGTTGCATCGTTCACAAAATAATTCTGCTCTCTGCCAGCTTCCCCGCAAGGCTGTCACTGTTATGTTCATCTACTTTGAAAAAACGCTTGGACACAGTCCAGTCCCAAATGATGAAAACAAAGTTCCAAGGAATCACAAGTTAGTCGCATGTACACTAAGCAGCAGCACTGTCACTCTTTTGTCGCATGCCGGGTTGGAGGCAGTACGTGAAATCATGATCGGCCGGTCATAAAAATCAACAGTCTTTGATGAGTTACAGGTCGTAGGTTGATCAGGAAAGGATCTGTTCTTCGATTCTGCAGGGTTCAGATTCAACAGTCAGTCAAGTATTGTCCACTGTCACTTCAAATTTCAACCTTTCGCAAAATGTAAACACTGGCTCGTCCGCCATTTCAAACTGTTACGTAACTGTCTACTTCGAAGAGAAAATATAAGTAGGTCAGACGATTCCATTATAGTGTAGCCAGGGGTACAGGTTTCACGGCACCCTGAAAACAATAGGCTTGTTTTATTCGTGTGGGTAGGGATGAAATAAACAACAAGATCTCGGGTATTACATAATTGCATTGAATAAACAGTAGTTTGATTTCTTTGGACAGAATATTGTTATGTTGTAATGTTAAAAAATACGAACGGCACCTACCGCTCCCTTCACAGACGAGAGTTCAATTCGCCTCTCGTCCCATGCCGGATTACACCGTGTCTCCCGCAGAGCGAGGAAGTTCGATTTTAAATGGGTCATGGTAGAATGGAGATAAGCCTAGTGTGTTTGAAAATCAGAGACATGCTTTACTGAATTGATGGCGACTAAATATTTCAATTGAAACCTCACGCTACGTGTTCGGTTCCAATTGAAATTTTGTCAGTTAGTTAGTTAAATATTTCAATTGAAACCTCACGCTACGCGTTCGGCTCCAATTGAAATTTAGTCGCCATCAATTCAGTAAAGCATGTCTCTGATTTTCAAACACTCTAGGTTTACTTCCTAAATAACCCATGAGGACCTAGATGTTTTCACTATGGATATGACCACATTTGACGATTTGACAGAAGCCTAATGGAGTATTCGGATGTATTCAGTAAATCAAGAAACATCAGCTTCTAAACAAAGGTCAAACAAATTGTGTGACTTTTGTACATTTTCGGGCGCTGCTGGAATTTACAGTGTCGATTTCCGACTCAGAGGCGACGTTAATGAACCTCATGATCAGACTGGCTGGCTTGGTTGATTCCATGCCATCATGCAGTGATGATATCAATCAGATTTGTCCGCTCAAGTCTGTTATTTTCAAGTCGTCGTGATGCACAAGACAATCTTGTTATTACATTTCATTCTTTAATGTGTTAAGAACTCCAAAGGAAACTAACAACTAGTGTCAATTAATGTAATAAATATAACCCTGACGCTAGCCATAGTATCATACAGAGCTAGTTGACATTGATAAAGCAACAGACAAAGAATTTGGTCATACGAACATTACAGTTATCCCTGAAGCCAAACGTGTTCCCTCAAAATAATCTGGGACATTTGTTGGTTGATCTCATCTATCACTGTAGATAGATGTATTTTTATAACTTTTTTTTAAGATTAGGAACTGAGATTGTTGGTGGCTGTACCTCGAAGGGGGTTAAAGTAGCATACTATTATTGTCCCCGGGAGAGGTTCGTAAGTACCAAAACATTCGAACTAGAAATTAAATATCCCAGGTTTTTAATCATTGGATATTTGTGTGGTTTTTGAGTGATGGCTAAATCGCCAACATCTCAAGAAACCATGGACATTCAGCTTGGGTCCGTGCAGGTAGCAAAGGTACTGTAAACCCCCATGGGCCCTTGTGTGGTGATCTACCTTGAGTTGCTGGCGATCTATAGCCTATAATTTTATTGTGTATTGTCTGTTTATAGTGCTATTATTTTAATATGAAATACTAGTTTTAACTCTGATACTCTGGTTGTTTTACTGTCCCTTGACGACAGGTTTTACATTATACATTTATTCATCATGAATGTCATATTGGTTCTTGTCATGATATGGCTGACATATTGCGGATGTGACGATATTATTAAGCCAATCACTAACTATGATATTGTTCTTCATTATACATTCTATTTTATTAATGTAGTCGAGCAAGGTTCATGTTATGTCAAAATATGTAATGTGGATAGCTAAAGGTGATTTTCAGAGACAACTGTGAATAAGACGCATAGAAGTTCCATCACACCTGTGTACGAGGGGATATCCAAAAAAGTTCAATTACCGCCAACACTTATTCAGGTACAAAACTTTATTTTCTTGCTTTTTGTCCTTATGATTTATCTACATAGTCGCCATCGAGCTACACATTTCTGCCACCGTCGTTTCTTGAACTTGCCAAAGATCGGCTGAATACAAAGTCCCCTGATTTCAGGCACCTTGCCTTTTTTCGGAGGTGTGACGTGGCATGTTTCCACCATCTACTCATCTCTTTTGTCTCAGGATCATACAAATAGACACACCATTCGTCCGTGGTTACAAGACATCTGCAGAAATCCTCTCAACCCTGCTCCAGAAGCCCCAATGCCTGTCGTGACATGTCCCGTCGAGTCTGTCGTTTAAGATGAGTCAGTAAGCGAGGAACCCAGCGTGCTAACACTTTAAACATGTGCAGCTGGTTATGGATGATGTTCCATGCACTGTCATAACTCCAGTCGGTCTCATGTATAGCCATTGGTATTGTTACACGTCGATCTTCCTGAACCAGCGCCTCGACCTTGTTCACGGTGTCCAAATCATCAGTAAGTGGGGGTATCCACTTCTTGGCTCATCTGTGAGGGAAATGTAACCCGTTTGGAAATTCCTTTTCAATGTCACAACAGTGTCATAGGATGGGCTATCATCACCATAAACAGATTTCATCTCATCGTGCATTTGTAGTGCAGTGCAGTCCTTCAAGTGCAAGAACTTAATTACACTGCGCGCCTCAGTCTTCTTCATACTTGGGGGTACTGGTGTGTATGATCAACTAGCACAAGGCTGAATATAGTGAAGTAGATGGTTCTCGGTCCATTAACCAGATAGGGATCACTGATGTTACAGTCAAAATCTTATCCTGATTGCTCATTAACTTCGTTGTGATAATTGGAACTATTTGATACCCCCTCGTATTATTGGGAATCTTATTTATCAACTTTATTGTATACACAGTAACTTTGTTGATACCATACAGCTATGCTTGAAGATTTGACATTCCCGTAAAATGAGAACCTCTCGTTCTGGCAATTTGTTTCTCCCAGAAGTCAGCACACACAGTGCGATACATGGCATATCGATGGCACAACAATGTTATAGATCTGTCATATGTGTTATAATTGTACTTGCTAGAAAGTGAGCTTTTGTCGTTTCCGACTTGTCCCTTTGCCATCTTGTGCATTGTTTCTTAAGAATCCTTTGGACTGATGAAGCCGAAACGTGCCATGATCCTTACTCCATGATTAGTTTGTTAAAGGTGCTTGAACGTTGCATGGGCGCCACAACAAACATAGTGACAAATCTATTCATGACCATTACTCTGCCTGTTTGTTTTGGATGTGTGATTGAGCATATATTTTATGAATTTGATTTGACAATGGTCTTTAATTCTCTCAAAAGGGACATTGATGTATTTGGCCTGAAATTGCCAGAAAGAGGGAGCTAAACTTTGGACTGTATTCCACAGCAACTGATTGTCTTCGTAAATATATTTATACTCTTGTACGAATTTACCAGTTAGCTACAGCTGCAGTTAGCTTTAGGGTAGGGATCATCTATGCCACTCTTAGATTATATGACTAAGAGGTAAACATGTACAAATGTCATCAAGTCAGTGTTTTAACTTCTTCAGTAAATCTTGTTTTAAGCCTGTCTTCTTTTCAACATATAACGCTATTAACTTTATGTAGCTTATGTAGATGTAATAAATGTGTATACATCTTGTATGTGTTGATTGTGTTCATGTACTCTCGAATCAGCTTGTGAGGAATTAAGTATATTGTAAATTCAATGCCATCTATTCGCACGTAGGAATGACGACGTGAGTGAGTGAGTTTAGTTTTACGTCGCCCAGGAAATACGACGACTTACAATGTCTGAAGGGAGTGAGTGAGTTTAGTTTTACGCCGCTTTTAGCAATATTCCAGCAGTATTACGGCGGGGGACACCAGAAATGGGCTTCACACACTGTACCCATGTGGGGAATCGAACC